GGCCATCCTAAACATCCCATAGTGTTCAGAGATACGTAGATTGGGTGGATTATAAGGGGATAGATCTGGATGGGATGTCTGAGGGTCAGTGTGGACCTCTTGCTTTCTGGGGGCGGGGGCGGCAACCTGCTGCTTCACGGTTTTAAGATATTCAAATATTTGAAAAATTTGGATCTAGGGATGATCTTCTATTTGACAGAATGAAATGAGAAACATGGACAGTTTAATATTAGGTTGTCAACTGAAAATAGAAAGTCCAAGGAACTGTTTCTAAATTAAAGATACCTTTTATATTCAACTAACCTTAAGGATGTTAGAGAGAAAGACATGGTTTGGTTGAAAACCTTGAGTTCTTGAGAAAGATCATCAACGTGAAATATCTACACACCCAAATTTTTTTATATTCACTGTAGAATGTGGATATTGCTCGCCAGGCCAGTATTTATTGCCCATTCTTAGTTGCTTTTATGAAGGTGCTGAAGTGCTACCTTCTTGAACTGCTGCAGTTCATAGGTAGGCCCACGATTTTGTTAGGGAGGGAGTTCCAGGATTTTGTCCCAACAATACTGAAGGAGCAGTAATTTACTTCCAACTCAAGATGGTGAATGACTTTGAGGGGAATTTGCAGGAGGTGTTGCTCCCTTATATCTGCTACGCTTGTCCTTCTAGATGGTAATGGTCATGGTTTAGAAGTTGCTGTCTAAGGATCTTTGGTGAATTTCTGCAGTGTACCTTGTAGATAGTACAAACTGCTGCTACTGAGCTTCAGTGGTAGAGTGACTGAATGTTTGTGGATGGGGTGTCTATCAAGTAGGTTGCTTTGTTCTGGAAATTGTCAAGCCTCGTGAATATTGTTGGAGGTGCGCTCATACCAGCAAGTGTGAAGTATTCCATCATACTTCTGACTTGTGCCTTGTAGAAGATGGAAGTCTTTGGAGAGTCAGGAAATGAGTTATTCGCTCAGTATTCCTAACCTCTGACCTGCTGTTGTTGCCAATATTTTTCTGTGTCGTCAAGTTCAGTTTCTGGTTAATGGTAAATGCCAGAATGTTGATAGTAGGGGATTCGGTGATCGTAACACTATTGAATGTCATGGGGTGGTGGTTAGATTGTCTCTTACAGGAAATGATCATTTCCCGGCAGTTGTGTGGCGCAAGTGTTGCTTGCCCATGCTTAGCCCAATTCTGGATATTGTCCAGGTCTTGTTGCCTTTGGGCTGCTTCAGTATCTGAGAAGTCACAAATAGTGCTGAGCATCATGTGAACATCACGGCTTCTGACATTGTGATGGAGGGAAGGTCATTGATGAAGCTGCTGAAGATGGTGGGCCTAAGACTCCTGCTGACATGTCCTTGAGCTGAGATGACTGACCTCCAATATTACCATGTGCTAAGGGTTTCCGGTACTTTGTGTTTTTTTTTCTTTTAGATAAACAATTATTGAATAGAGAGATGTAGGGTTATAAACTGCAGAATCACTAAGGGCAAGTTTTATGGTTTTCTGCTGATCAAATCATTGTTGCCATCCCCAACATCTTTGATTCAGGATTTCTTCGCAAGACATATTTTTCAAAAATAGGCTGAAATATTTCTCAAGATTTTAATGATTTAGTTAAAACTATAAATGCATGTTAATTTCAAAGCTCCATTTATATCGGGTGCCCAGTATCATTTTGCAGATTATCTGTTTTGGCTTTGTCAATCCTGAACAAGTCCAAACTTTGCAAACCTGTCAGTCATTTCTGTCCAACTACACGATTGGTCAATCAGGTTGTCAATCAGACATCGCCCCATTGGTCAATGAGAGGGGGACGTGGGCGGGCGGGCTCCGCAGGTTGGATCGGTCTAATCAATTCTCTTTTAAAGAAAATTAGTTTTAAGCTTCAGGAAAGACTTGCGGTGTGAAATTGTCTTTGAGTTCGGTTTTCCAAAAGAGAGAACCAAATGGCTGGCTGTTATTTTGAATGGGGAGGTCACGTGACGGAAGATAGCCAATGAGAGAGGAGATGCTGCCGGCTCGTGTGGTTTCCCGCCAAATACGAGCGGCTGGCGGGAGGGGGAGGGGAAGGAGCGGGATTAACGGCAGCGGCTCGAGTATAGCAGCCCGGTTCGCATCGGATCATCTATTGACCGAGCCTGCCTGTCTGACGGCCACCGACACAGCGGCCGGTTGGCCGCCTGCCTGACTGCGGTGGCCCGGAAAGCATGCTGCAGCAACCCCCGAGCCTGGAGCAGAAGCAGGCGGCCACGCTAAGGGAGACCCGAGGTAAGTCAAGGAGTTGTGGGGGGACCGAGGCTCGGAGTTGGCCGCAAGGCCCCAGTCCGTGATTGGAGTGGGGTGGATGAAGGAAACTGGTTTGACACTGACAACTCTCCTCGATCCTGACAGACCGGGTGGGGGTCTCTGTTTGTCTGTCCCCCTCCATCCAAATTGATCCAATCAGAAATTCATCTCAACTTCCACGGCATTTTCACTTTTCTATTAGTACGTCTTATTTTAAGGCGCTGACAGGAAGCTTGCTGCCCGTGGCCCTGATTTCTCCTTCATCCAGCTGAGTTATAGAAAGGCGGGAGAGGCAGGAATCCTGAGTTAAATGGAGCGCTCTCCAGGCAGGACAGACGGATCGGTTATAGATGCTCATTCTTTAAACGGAAGTATCAATCTGAGCATTTATATTTAGTCAGTGTAAATTCCAGTTGTCAGTATTGTCTCTGAAGTGGTTCTGATCACTCTTGGGACTTTATTTTGCAGTTGTTTTTTCTGGGATTTGTAAGCAAATCATCTCTTCTGACCCCACAATGTTTCTTCTCACCACAACAATTTGTGCTGGATTCTTTTTTGTTTCTTCCCTCAGATCAGAGTTTTCTGCCTTAATGTTATACGTCGGGATTCTTTAATTCATAGACAAGGTGATTTTACAGTCTGCAATGAGTGAAGTTAATTGTCCAACTTTGAAAATTATTGTACAATAAATCCATCGTTTGAACATTAGCTACTTACAGTCTTGTTCACAACTGTGTGCAGCCGTTCATTGCGAGGATCTGAACTCCTAGGCGAATATTTGTGCACTGAGATCACATTGAATAATGCTTCACTCTGATCCATTCCATAGGTTAATCATAAGATAATTGTTTGAGAGACCCTGGTGCCCATGCAGAATAATACTGTTAAATGGAAGTCATCACTGGTTGCACTGCTGATCATTTTAAACATTTTATGTTGTGTGTTTTTTTTAAAGTAAGTTTGGAGATTTGCTTCCAGACTTGTGCTTTATTTGGAGTTGGGGGTGTGATGTATGCTTAGTAGGGAAGGGAAAGAGTCAACGTAGCTGCAGCAACGAAATGGTACTCTGAGTGGTAGCTATCTTTCTTTTAAAATGCTAAGGTTCAATCAGTAATTGTGGAAGAGTGTTGAGGATTTTTTTTTTGTGATGGTATTTCATTCCTGATTGGTAGAAGAGGCAGTGATGACCTTTGCCTCTAATTTTGTTACTGGAAGGTTTAGGTATGCCCTGTGTGAGCACCATTACCACCTTTTTGCAAATTTCCTGTGGGAACAGCTTGATGCTTTCTTCCAAGCAGGTGTTCTTTAAGATAAAAACTTAGGCCACTGTAGAATTTTTTTATAGCATAATTAATTGTTGTTGTTTACAGCAGTGTTTTCAATTATGTTGTTAGCATACTGACATTTTAATACCTATTTCTAGAAGATGTTAATAATATAATGGATGGGTGAACTAGCTGAATAGTAAAATGTTGGATTCCAGAAGTTCTATATGGGCTTGCTGTGTTTTTCAGAACTAATTAAGATGGACGTTTTGCATTTTATATGGAGGTCCTGGAGAAACGATATATATCTTTGCAACAATAGTTCAGATTTGGCAAGGCTAATGTATTTCGGATCAATTTTTACAATCTCTTGCAAACCACTTATGAAATTTTGAAGCTTCACTTCCACCCAGCTGTTAGTTGTTGCTTTCTTTTGCTGGTCAGCTGAGATTTAAAACTTCTCATTAGGATGCACTTCTTTCTTTTGAATTCGGTGGTAGTACTGGTGTAATGGTGCAGGGCATGCTGTGCCATTGTTCACACAGGGTAGAGTAATTTATTGATCAGAACCATTTTGTTGCTGAGGTATGTTTCTTCCATGTTCTTGACACCGTTACTAATAAACAAGTTGCTGCATACATGACAACCTGGACAGTGCTGTTTGAGACTCTGTATCCCTTTTGTGTTATGTTGGCATTTCAGAGAACAGACTTCTGTCAAATGGGCTGCTGATCAATTAGCGATGTTTGTGTCAAATCTTGCCCCTAAAAGCTTTGAAAATGTTTTCTGGACTACCAGCGGTTGCTCAATTCTTTGCTTCCAAAACATGCAATGATATTTAATTGTTTAAACTGGCCAATTGTTTTTGTACAGTTTTATATTACTGAATTGCATTTTTTTTTGTATTTGAGTGGCCATGCAGGAACAAGTCTATGCTTCAGATTATGCTTCACAAAGTTTCAAGGGGCTTTTGTGCCTGTGTTATACTTGCTATTGTACACAGCAGGGTAGTTTTTAAAAGTCACTAGGCTGAAAAGATTCCTGGTTTACACTCAATTGACAATTCACAAAGGCATTGTTGAAACTGGAATCCAAGGTTTGATTCTCTAGTTAACAATTTTTTATATTGTATAAAGTGCAGTGCTACATTAGTCACAATCCTGCGATGTTGATCATAGTTGCGTGATTGTCATTGAAATAAAAATTTGGGTGAACTAGTTGAGATTTTGTCAGGCATGTGGATGAAAACTTCTTTGGTACCACCCTGAAATATTCTATTCTGTGATTTGGGTTGCCCCAAATAAATTAATTCACCTATGTTCCCATGTTCTGGCCTTAAAAACACCGAATGAAGACGCTACTGCTTTTCTTCAAGGTGTTCATGTGCACTTTGCATGCTGGGGTTTGATAGGATATTAGGATATGTTAATTTATTGTCTGGATTATAGTGACCAAATTTCAACATTTATTCACTTATTCTCAAGGAAAATATAGACCACAAGGGCACAGTCTCAGCATAAGCAGCCAATTACTTAGATGTTCATTGGAGACATATCTTCACTCAGGCTTTTGAATCTTTGAAATTCACTACTGTAGAGGCTTAGGATGCCTCTATCATGTGTAAGGCTGAATGTGACAGATTTTTAGCTTATCAATGAAACAAGGAAATATGAAGGAATGTGAAGCTGAGTTTGATGTTCAGCAAGATTATATTAAATTGAGAGACTGGCTTCAGGGACTGTATGTTCTGTGGGCTTCAGAGGTACATTGGCAAATGTAGGGAGGTGAAGCAAATCCATCACTGCATAAGAAAATTATTATCTCGTAAATTGTGCACAAGCTACATTATAGTTTGACAGGCTGTGGCATCTTTCCAAATCCTGAGTATTCGTCTTCACCCTGTAAAATGATGACAGTTACTCAGCAATTGAGGACACTACCCCAACAATGTATTTGGTTTACCTGATAACCCTGTCTCAACTTTCCTGTAAAGGTTAATGGACAACACTTAAACAGAAGCTTTGTAGTTACTTTTATCACTGTAGGTGTTATATTGTATAGTTAATTTTGCAATTTTATTGAGTCTAAGGGAATCCTGAACTAGAGGGCATAGGTTTAAAGTGAGAGGGGAAAGATTTAAAAGGGACTTAAGGGGCAACTTTTTCACACAGAGTGATGCATATATGGAATGAGCTGCCAGAGGAAGTGGTGGAGGCTGGTACACTTGGAACATTTAAAAGGCATCTGGCTAGGTATATGAATAGGAAGGGTTTAGAGGGATATGGGCCTTATGCTGGCAAATGGGACTATATTAGTTTAGGATATCTGGTCGGCATGGACGAGCTGGACTGAAGGATCTGTTAACATGCTGTACATCTCTATGGCTCCATGACTTAGAAGTCCTAGTTTAAGATTGCCAAAAGAACCTGCATGTTAACCTTAAGACAGTTAAGAAGGCAACTCTGACTCTACTGTAGAGTACATTATGAACAATTTTTTTTGTTAACTTATTGTTGGGATTACAGTGACCACATTTCAACATTTATTCATATTGAAATTTTTGCATTCTGAATTTTATCTGTTATATTCTTCATTCAGTTATTCAATTCAAAGTATTTGATACAATTTATTTTTGGACTAAATTTCCAAAGTATTGTTCTTTGTTAATTCATTTTGTGTTTAGCATATCTGGTGAATTCAAATTGTCAGTGAACGATGTTCTGGTAACTAGCAATCTACCATTTTCTTTCATATCTTCATATTATTCAAAGGGTTTATGCAGAATTTTGCAGCTAGGACGTAAACAGTTAGAATTACAATTGATTGGCAACAAGGTAATAAAATTCTGAATTAAAAGGTCAGTAGAAACTAGCAATGCCATCTCCAAAGTTTTTGCATAATGTATGCGATATAAAGTAATTTTGAGCCCTGTTGTGAATTTTTCACAATATAATACTATATGTATTAATTATCTAGGTCTGTTAGAGTCTATTTTGCGCTTGTGGTGAGGGGAAGTAATCACATAATATCCAAACAGTCAAGTTTATCTCAAATAAAATCTTGAGGTGTGATATTACAATTTTTTTAAAAATATAGAATTACAAATAGTATAGGTTATATATTGTGGGACAATTGGGTGACAATTTATTTGAGAGAAAAATCTTCTCTTTTGTAATTTAATTTTCAAAGTTTACTTTTTACTTTTTCTTTGTATTTAACTTGTTTATTTTCTTTGCAGTAATGGAGGAGTGCAAGTTGAAAGCAGTCACTCCAGCAAAGAAACTGGTCCAAGGTAACTTCATATCTTGGTTATTAATATGATGCATTTTTGATTGATTATAATGGGTTGCAACATGGTTCTTTTTCAGTTTTGAGAAACTTGAGCTGTGTTTCACCCTCTGGAAACCATAATGTCTTCCATGATTGAACTCTACCCTTATTCTTTCATCCACTTGAACACTTGAATGAGTTTCTGAAATGAAATCCTTTTCCCATGTGGTGCTTTGTTTGGATGTCTAGTTTGTGGCTTTTCTCTTGCCCAACCCCACCCCCAGTCTTGTTACTGTGAAAATCTCTTGTCTTTGTACTAATCGTAAAGTACTTTTCAGCAGTGTGTCACTGTGTATGGAATTGTTAGTGGTATTGTTGTTTTTAATGGAAAACAATTTACCTCTGCAGCGAACATGGTCAAAGTGGCACTTGAGGACTAAGCATAACCCAAAAATAGCTGCATGTGACTTCACTTAACTTTTTTGTCATTTAATACTTAAATCTTGACATTGATGATCACAGGACAATTTAGGTGTTGCTACAATTGGTCGCCATCAAGCTGCACTTTACCACTATCCAGTATGGTAAAAAGTGCTTGTGTGGATGACTCATAGAGACAGTATAATATTCTGTTATTGCTTCAGGGATCTCCTAACCTGCTATATTTGCTCAGAGGTCACAGGAAAAGTAGCAACTTTCAGAGAAATGCCAACAAGCTGTGATACGTGGAGCTGCAGAGCAGCATGAATCTGTCAAAAGAAAAGTAATGAACTGGGAACCAGAGACAAATAGTTAGCCTTGCAAGGTTTTGTTCCTGTGTGCACACGGAGAGCATTCTTGGATTCTTTTCTCCCAGTAACTGAAGAGTAATGCAGTTAAATTTTGTGATGTTGCCTCTAGGAATATGGGCTTTAACTGAATGATGTGAAATTCTGCAACGTTAATTTTGTTAAGAGAGATACATCTTCATAAATTTATATAACTGGTAAAATTACCATAAAGCGTGGCATATACGTTGAGCTGACATAGCTCAACCTCTAGCATTTCTTGGCAGAAAACATACATCATCTGAGTTGGGCTTAATTTTATTTGAACTCCGTAATGTATGTTTTAATCCCCTTAATTCAGCACATGGAATCAGGAAGATGATACAGGCCAACGTACCCAATGAATGAACAGGAATTAAAGCACACCCACACAAAGCAGTGTATACACGGTGACTGAAGAACTGCATTGCTTCCTCTAGTGAAAACTGAAGTATGAAGCTGGTTTCAAGCTAAAATTTTCTAATCTGTCAAACAATTGGACTGCAGCGAGAGAATTTTGAATTAGTGTAAACTAACATGAGACTGAATGGAGGAAGAAACTGCCCTGAAGAAAATATCCCATACCAAATGTCCTTGTTCTTGAAACGCTAGTCACTGGCTTGATCTTGAGATGATTGTATCAGAATGAGTCCTTGATATTCCCCCAAATGGTATGTCATCACCAGAAATACAATGCTCATAGACTTCTGCTGGACCAAATCAAACCTCCAATCCAGCAAAGATTTCATAGTAGCAACCAGTTGGTGTAACTGCTGTATGGAAGGAAAATGTTAAAGGTTGTGGCAGAAGGCCATATTGTCCACAGACTGCCAAAGGATCTTGATGCCAGAATTGTCGGTTTCCATTTTTGGCACTGTTTGATAAATTCTTGGAAGTACTCATGACATATCCATGAATTTTTATCGATTTTTAAATTCAATTTTGCTGCTGAACTGGAGTGGAAGGGTTCAAATAGTCCTGAAAACAATAGCTTGTGATTCAAAATTGTATTTGCCTGCAAGTCAATGGAATTGAAACCCTCAATGAATTTCAAGTTTATCCTATCTTCAGGCTGAAAATCAAATTCCCTTCAGAATTTTTGTGCATTTCCATGATAACTGGATGAATGAGGATGGAGTGAAGTTTTCGATCTAGAATCAGCATCTTGATGGTATACACAAGGAATTAACTTTCTTGGCATGAAGAATGTGGAAACCCCTGGTAATCTAATTTAAAGGCTGTTGTGTCTGTTTAGAAAAAGCTGTTTTTAAATACGTGCCTGTACTGGGCTTAATAGTGGCTTCTTCCTCAACCAGAGACCAAAGCAACCCCATCTACCACCACTCTCCTCCGCTTGGCTGAATTTGTTCTCTCACTGAAAAATTTCTTCTTTAATTCATCTCACTTATGCCAAGTCAAAAGAGTAGCTATAGGCACCCGCACGGGTCCCAGTTAAGCCCACCTGTTTGTGGGGTATTTGGAACAATCCTTGTTCCAGTCCTACACTGGCCCCCTCCCACAACTGTCTTTCCAAATACATCAACTGCTTTGGTGCCGCTCCATGCTCCCGCCAAGATCTTGAAAAATTCATTCATTTTGCCTCCAATTTCCACCCCTCTATAACTTTCACATCCAATTCCAACACTTCCTTTTCTTGATCTCTTTGTCTCCATTTCAGGGAACAAACTGTCTGCTGACATCTACTACAAAGCCACTGGCTCCCAAAGCTAACATCGCTACAGCTTGTTACGCACCATGTCCTGCAAGGACTCCGTACCATTCTCCCAGTTCGTTCGCCTACGTCACCTGTTTGGGTGGTGCCTTCAAAAACAGCACTGCTGAAATGGCTTGCTCCTTCCATGACCATCGTTTCCCACCCACTATGGTTGACAGGGTCCTCAACTACATCCACCGTATCACCAGTGCTTCTGCCCTTGCCCTTTTCCATCACTCACAACAGCATGATCAGGTTCCCCTCACTTTTCATCCTACCAGCCTGTATGTTTAAAGGATCGTTCTCTGCCATTTCGGACAGCTCCACCGGAATGCCACCACCAAACACCTCTTCCCCTCACTCTCTTGACTGCATTTCGGAGGGATCATTCACTCTGGGACACCCTAGTCCATTCCATGACCACCAAATTTCTACCCCCTCCCCCAACATGCACACAGATAGGCATGCACACACATCCTTCCCATGTAACTGCAGAAGGTGCAACAGTTGCCCCTTCACCACCTCCTTACTCACCATCCAAGGGCCTAAACAGTCTTTCCAGGTGAAGCAGCATTTTGCCTGTACCATGTCCAATCTTGTGTGTTGTATTCGCTGCATCCAATGTGGCCTACTCTACATTGGAGAAATCAAACGCAGACTAGCTGACTGCTTTGTGGAACACCTCCGGTGTGTGCGCAAGCAAGACCCCAACCTTCCCATAGCTGGTCATTTTATTAGTGTCCTGCTTGCATGCCCATTTGTCTATTCTCGGCATGCTGCAGTATTCCAGTGAATCACAGTGCAAACTGGGGAGCAACATCACATCTTCAGATTAGGCACTTTACAGACTTCTGGATTTAATAATGAGTTCAACACCTTTAAATTGTGAACCAACTGTCATTTCTTCCCTTTCTTTTAGCTTTACCTGTGTTAGTATTCGCTGTTATCATGACCTGTCTCCTCTCCCTCACCCCAGTGGTAGTGTGTGCTCTATCAAGTCTGCCAGGTAGACACAGCATTGTTCTGCCACTCTCCCAGTCCGATCACTCAATCCGAACTATCAACATCTTGTCTCCTCCAGCAACCCACCACCACCCCCACCCCTCCCAACCTGGCAACTAGAACTTCAATCTCCCCACAATTCACTTCGCTGTGATGAAGAGTCATCCAGACTCGAAACGTTAGCTTGCTCCATCCTGATGAAAGCTGTCTGACCCGCCGTGATATCCAGCATTTGTTGTTTTCAGTACAGACTCCTGCATCTGCAGTAATTTGCTCCTTCATTTGAGGATCATGTTTCCAGATCTGATCCCAAGTGGGAACTTTTTGATGTTACAGCCAAGGTGACTTGATGAATTTGTTAAACTCTTTGCATGGAGGCAGAGATGATGAATTTGGCAGGTTAATAAAAGCTTTTTTTTGAATGAAGTTCAAGGTAGCCTAATATAATTCATTTATTCAATAAAATGTCTCTCAATTAAAATTCATTGTTGCATATTTCAAAATGATGAGCACCTCTAACAACAGTTCAGATTTACACTGCATTTAAGTTAACCCATTTTAACGAGTTAAAATGGCATGATGGTTCAGTGGTTAGCCTACCAAAAGTAATATCCGCTCTTAGATCTAGAGTCCAGGTTTAAGTATGAGTGGTTAAGTCGGATTGGAATAGCTGGTGGATTAGAAGCTGAGAATTGGAAGAAACATTCCCGTTCTTTTTTGTTTAATATTTTCAAAGTTATTCTTTTAAATATGCTTAATAGTTCAAACTTTTTCTGTTTTTTTTTTGTAGCACGATTGCCTTTCAAACGTCTCAATCCTGTACCAAAGCCAGAAAATGAACAGACTACTGATACTAAGCGGACAAAAATTTCTACTAATGCACCTGAGCAACTGGCGGCAGTCAAATTGATTGCATCTGATGAAGATGTTGAAAATGACTGCAAAATAAACTTGGATGGCCAAACTGGAAATTCTGCAACAGTGGATGGGGATCTGACTCCCTGCAAACTTGTTAATGGGAAAGGACCTCTTGATGATTTCTTGCAAACCACTGAGAAGAAGAATGCCATGGTTAAGATGCACACTAGTGAACACCATTCCACAATTGACTTAACATGTGATTCTGGCAATGAAGTTTTGGACAGCATAGACACAAGTATAAAACTTCTGGCTTGTGAAAAAGAGCTAAATGAGAAAACAAAAGTTGGTTCTGAAAGAAAATGCAACTGGTTTGGTAGCCTGAAGCCTAGTGAAAGTAAAGAGTTAAATTCTAAAAGTTCAGCCCCTGGGCAGATTAGCAGGGAAAGTAAAACTTATCAAGGACAAGAAATTGAAAGCAATAGCCCAATTGTGAACAGTGGGTTGAGAGGCAGAGTGCCAGTGGTGGTTTTAAAAGACATAATGGCTGACAAGGCCTGCTGGACTGGGAATCTAGAGAAGGGCATAGTGCAAGTAGGAGGACCTGGGGCATTTACAAATGAAAGCAGTGAGTCACCCATCAGTTCTCTATCAAGTTCTGTTTCGGCTACTGATAGCTCACCAGAAGCAAGGTCTCCAGCGGATGAAAGAAGTCCCAGATCTGCATTCTCAACATCTGGAAGCAAGGTTGATATAAAATTATTATTTTTGTACATTGTTATTTGGGGAAGTGGGACGAGAAGTGTTACCATGTTTAGTGCACTATTGAGAACCACATCCACTTGAACTGAGAAATATCTAGAAGTATAACTGCATGTTTGGGGAGAAAAAGCACTTTAAGCTGCTTAACAAAGATGAAGTGATTCTTTTAAAATGCAGTTTCATAACAAAAATTCATGTAAAGTTAATATCTGTGAGCATAAATCTTAAATGATTGTTTAGCAAGTTCTTTTTTACAATCGCGAATAGGACTAATTTTCAGTATATACACATTTGAGCCTTAATCATTAGCCAATATGTTCTTGTTTCTGACACTCATCAAATTTTAAGTCAACATTTGTTCTGCTTTTGGATGTCCTACTATTTCAAAGGGTAAGACTACTGGTTGATGATTGTGGCCTTTAGCTGCCACATAGGTTTTAAATATCTTTTTGTAGACAGAAAGGATTGAAAATTTCAATATGATTTCTATTATTCTATTACAGTCTGATTTCTATTATGAATTCTACAAAATAGTTTCTCGATTGTCATGTGAATCACTTTGTATCTAGCTGTCTGCCATATAATGCTTTTGATTGCATAGCCAGTCTAGATATAAAGATTGTGCTTATGAAAATTGGGCCAGTTGTCGGTGTTTCATAGGGGAAACAAAATGCTAAGCAAGCAGCAGGTTGGATGGTTTCTAAAATGGGACCCTGTATTTAAACTGCAAAGGTGGAATTAATCTATCAGACAGCAAGGAACATGCCTTATCGTACACATTTTGTTTTAGTAAGTACCTGAATTTTTCTGTTGCTTAGAATCATAAATTTAATGTCTATGTTTGGATTTGAGATGATAGTTAACTACTTCCAATTTCCTTGGCTGTCAGAAGCACTTCAGTGTTGCAGCTAATCTCTCAGTATTCTCTAGACCAGTCGAGAGATTCTTCTTAAATACTTGTCAAACTCGCATATGAGAGAGTTCTGTTTTCACTGTTGCTAGCTTGTCTTCATTCTTCCTCTCGTCAACTCTTCTGTCTGTCCTTAATAGTTTTATAGCAATGTCTATTTGTCGTTATCCTACTTGCACTTGACTTTTCTCCTCTCAGCCATGATAGATTTTATTCTTTAAAAAAGCTTACGTTTTGTGAAGTGTTTCTTCACAACTGCAGCATTTTGTTTTTCAGGTGAATCTAGTTTAAATGATTTTATAGCTATAAGTATTTGTCAGAATTGTGTTCCAACTTATACATGAAATTTGGACTCTTGTTTTATCCTATTTTCTGTATTTGTCCTTTCATAAAGATTCTGTACCTATAAATCTTTTCTCACCTTGAGGATCTCTACAGTTTATCATGTGCTTTATTTTGGCTTGTCCTAAAATGACTATTTTGCATGAGTCCACATCTGTCCGTTTCATAATTACTTCAGTATTAACAAATTGTAATATATGTTTTGTATTTATTTTCTTCTTGAAAACATCAGCTAAGAAGAGTTGGCGTTGGGACATTTCTCTGGAATTAATGCAGAAGAATGCTACTTAAGAATTCGGTATAATTAGACATCTGAAAGCCATTCACTGGGAGGGAGACAGAACCGGTCCCATTGCTTGTTTTCGCTTCATGTAATATATTAGAACATTGAAATGCAATTATCGAGTGGTGAAGGGGTAAAAAACATTTAGCACTGGCTACTTTTTAAAACTTAGAAGTACCACTTCTTAATTCCCACTTTTCAAATTATTGCTTCTCCAAGCTTGTGGCTGTTGCATGTGCAGATTGCCTGCTGCAGGCTGTGTTCGATGACGTTGCTCATCTCTTCTTTTTAATGTTGCGCTCACTCTTGCTCTTTCTCTCTTTAACCCCCACAACCTTGCCCAGAAAGAAAAGTCCCTTGTGAGAAAAATCAAACATAGCAAATGAGATCAGGTTCTGGAAAGTAACATTTTTGTTATACTAACCCCCTTGTAATTGTTCCCTTCCATTTTATTTGTATCTTCTACTTCTCTTTCTGTAGGAAATGCTTGTTTTTACACTTTTTTTCTTACTGCTATCATTGACTCACAGATTAGAGACTGTTCTGTTCCTGCAGCAAATTGGAAAAACATCAAACTTTGTGCTCACTCCCTTGAAGGGGCAAGGAGGAAAGAGAAGGACTTCTATATGTGCTTGTGTGAACCTTTTTTTTTATTTGCGTGTGTCGCTATTTGTCTAAACCCTTGTAGCAACCCACATACTCATTCCCTCGGGCATAGCTACGTGAGTGAATCTGTTCACCCTGGCAAAAGCAGCTGATCTGTAAGGGAGCAAAATAATGCTGCCAAGTTTTGCAATGAAGGAATGTATGTGACTTCCCCAGCTTACTGTTTCTTTTTATTTTGTTCTTGTCCCCATCCTCCTCTTCAAATGAACCAAACTGTAGGACCCAATTACAGTTTGACAGCAGTTATGTGAACCTGGTGTTCTTCTGCTGTCAAAACTGGCATTTGAGACTTTTTTCTTTCCCTTTGCTTGGATACAAATTAACTGCTGTGCATTACTATATCCCATTTCTGACTTTCACTATTTCAGCTCTACCACATGAGGGCATAGGTTTAAGGTGAGAGGGGGAAGATTTTTAAAAATGACCTGAGCAGTAAATTTTTCGTGCAGAGGATGTGTGTATGGAACAAGCTGCCAGAGGAAGTGATGGAGGTGGGTACAAGTACAACGTTTTAAAGGCATCTGAATTGATATTTGAATAGGAAGGGTTTAGAGGGATGTGGGCTAAATGCTTCAAATGGGACTAGGTCAGATTGGGATGTCTGATCAATGCAGATGAGTTGGACTGAAGGTGCTGTATTACTCTACAACTCTGTGTTTATATGTGCAATATTGAGTAGCAGTTTGTTCCAGCCAAAGAATCTTTTATCTTATATATCTGCATAGTAAAAATAAGTTAGAATTGTGAGCACTCCAAATGTAATTTATGATTCTGCTATTTGATTAGGTTAGCTACCCTGACGAGCTGTGTCTGCAATGTCCGTATTTAAAAGAAATGGCACACAAATTTTCAAATTTGAAAATGGTTCAGCAAAGAAAAATGAAGAACTAATCCAAAAGTAACAGTAGTTAAACTGAAAATGCAACAAAGGAAAATGAGACCAAAAATGCTAGAAGAAGCTGTCTTGATAAATGAGTATTAACTGAAAATGGGATCCACTTTTAAGTAAGAATACAGCCTTGATGTTGAACTTGCTTTTTCTCAAGAAAGCTAAAGTTGAGCCACTACCATAGACCATGAGTATTCCAGTGGATTACATCACTGTCATCGATTAAATTCAAATTGTTTATTTTCATCCTATTTCTGTCTCTGGAACACCAGGCTCATTACGTGAAGTTGAAACAACCACTTCTGAAATATTTTTATTGAGAGTTCCTTATGTTTGAATTGCAAAGATGAGAACTTACTGCTGCAGTTTTACTAGGCCTGTACTACCTGTCTCCTTCAGCTGACTTGTAATCCGTGACCTCTATCTTTACCTTTTTCCAGCTGTCTATTGTGAGGTAAAATTTTGTGCATAATGTGTGGTGGATGGTACTAAAATTATGAACAGTACTGCCTTTTTCTCAAAGCCTGTTATGACATACATTTGTATACGGAATTTACAAAGGCAAACTCTTTCAGTTTTGGAAAGCTTTGAGAAATGAAACATAACACTTTGGGATTCAAAGAAAAAAATCCATTAAAGCTAATTTCTCTTAAGAGTTAATCTTTGTGAAAATTGCCTTTTTCAAGCACAGAAGGTTGGTTATAAATAGAGCAAAGGCAAGAAATTAAGCACAGCAGTATCATGGTATTTCTATCATGAATCAATCTTGGATTTTGGGCATATTGTTGCCTGAATTTTCTATTTCGTTTCCCCAGGCTAAGTTATTGGTGTGACAGTATACTTAAGCTGGGTACGTGAGATATGTATAGCTGTTTTTGTTTGCGTGTGACTTGCTTTTCAAAGCAGCAAACCTAGTCCTGATAATCCAATCACTCAAAACATATTGACAAATTCTACTGCCATGCTGTATCAGCTGAGCTACCCTAGGAAATTAATAATAAAATAACGTATTGCCGGTTGAGCTGTATGTGAAAGGAGTTAATTACATTTGACACCCTTTGTCTTCATAATTGTTCACACCTGTGCTTTTTTAAAATTGTTTGTTAGTTCCAATGACAATAGTTACCTGACCATTGTGAAAATGATGCAAAATTTAATCTATCAAAGTCAGCTGCATTTGTAAGTTGGCTTGTTTCAAATCTACTGCTTTGATTTCATGCGACATTGAATTTCCCAGTAAATATCAAGATAGAACCAGAAGTAATGTAACCAAAAGTACAGTGCTTGCAAAACTGCTTTTATAACCAAAAGCCAGCATCTGACCTCAGGTTTCTTGGTCCTAAGCTGTGTGCTTGGAGAAATTGATGTAAATCTATTAGTAACCTGGAGAGGGTTCAGAAGAGATTTACCAGGATGTTGCTGGGAATTGAGGACTTAGGTTATAAGGAGAGCTGGATACGCTGGGACTTTTTTTCACTGAAGCATAGGAAGTTGAGAGGTAACTTTATAGAGGTTTATAAAATCATGAGGGGTATAGATAAGGTTAATGGCAGTGTCTTTTCCCTAAGGTGGAGGATTTCAAGACTAGGGATATATTTTTAAGGAGAGAGGAGAAAAATTTTAAAGGGCAGTTTTATTTTTAACATTTTGGCTCGTGTGAGGAATGAACTTCGAGAGGAAGTGGTGGGTGTGAGTACAGTTACAATGTTCGAAAGACGTTTGGTTAAGTGCATGACAGGGATATGGGCCAAGCGCGGGCAGATGGGACTAGTTTAGTTTGGGATTATGGTTGACCCGGACTGGTTGGACTGAAAGATCTGTTTCCATGCTTTGTGTCTCTATGATTCTATAACCAACACTCTCATGAAAATCTGGCAATGATGAGTATAGCAATCAAACATTGGCTTTATGAATTGAGACCTCAACTTTTTTTTTTCAAGGATGATTAAATGAAGTTAATTAATGATTTAGCTCTGACAATTTTATGGCTATCCTTTATGTAATAAAGCTGCAGATGATCAGTAGTAATTTTCCACATTCCTGTAAGTCTCTAAATTGGAATAACTTTTCTGTGACTTTTTCCATTGATGGTGTATGAAAATTTAAAAATAAACAATGGAGATGAAATGGAGTCAAAAGTTTATTATCTTTCGTTTCATCCAAAATACTTTGCAGTTGTACTCCCAGATCCAGAAGTTTCTGGAGTTAGGCCAGGATGGATTTTCAAACTTTCTGGTTTTTAAAGAAAATTATTGGAACAAAGTTTAAATAGGAATGGCCTAATCCACTGAAAAGGGGACTGTAAAACCAAGTGATGTGACTGTAGATCACATAAGGATAATACTCATGTCTTAACTGATATTAACTCCAGTGTGAGAGAAGTGAATTATGAACCCCTCTCTGCCTCCCCCATTTGTGCCAATCAACACAACTTGAAATGAGAAATGATCAGTTTTTTTTTTTCCCCACCTCATTTTTGGATAGTTGACTTTGGGAGAGCACACCTGTGTGTACAGTCATAAAACAACAGGCAATCAGTTTAGTGCATGCCCTAGTCTTGAATCTGACTTTGAAAGTAGTCCAATACTGATAAGGTTCACTTTTGAAGCCCAACTTTATCAGTCACGGTTTTATAATTTATGCCTGGAAGGCATAGTTTTTGCAGATGTAAACTATTTGCTATTTAAAGTTAGAATTGGGATTTGTCAAACTGATTAAGTCAGTTTTTTTTGTCTACTGTATATTAGACAGTACAATTTTATAACCTATTGTAACATTCTTGTAAAACAGTACTTTCAAATTAAATTAACCTTTTAAGGTGATTAGGTGATGGTAGCACTTCCCTTGGTAAGTCAGTAGGTTTAGGTTTGAGTCCTATTCCATATTTGCCTCTCAATATCATTTAGAATACCTGGTCATTGTTGTGTCATTTGCAGGAGTTCTGTGTTCAAATTGGTGCCATGTTTTCTAAGTTACAACTACCTGACTAAGTCTCAAAGTGCTTTTATTGACTGTAAAATGCTATGCAGCCTTGTTTATTTCAAAATATTACTGATGTGCAATATTGTTTTTAAAATATAGAATATACACGGTGAATAGTTTGCAAATTAGACTGGTTTGTTGTTGGAATTGTGCCAATTAACCTCTCTTGGGTTATGCATATAGATATTTTATTTCTGCACTTTAAAATGAGCCATTCTATTTACAGGTTACACAAACACCAAAGTTGCAGGGCAAGAGACTCAAGCAGCAACAGGTATTCAGATTTTCTTTTTAATTTACTGCCAGTATTTGAGCCCAAATGATGAGATGATGAATCATATGACAATGACTTCTTCCTGAATTTTCTCGCTTCTAATTTTTGTAATCTTTTTGCAGTTTGACATCATAAACAAATAAGGACATCTGCACCATCATGCTTCCAGTTGCTTTCCAATTTTAATGTTGGCCATCAGCATCCAGTCCTTAACCCCTGCCAAGTCGCTGCACAGTTTTCAAAATTTGGAAATAGAGTAATCCCACTGACACCATAGCTCTAATGTTGTGCAATTTAACAATGATACCATAGAGGACCTGTATTCAAAATCTACAGAAATTTTATTTGAGCAGCGTGCAGTCTGAAAGTTTTTAATTAAGATTTGGAAGGAAATTATTGAACAATGTGTAATAGTGTGCCTTAACATACAGTATTTAAAGCTTTTACAGCTAGTATACCTAATCAAACAACTTGGACTTGTGGAGGAAGATAGTTATGTGGAAGTGATTTCCCCCTATCAAGGTAGCATTTTGACAGTGGGTGGCATTAAGGAGCTGCCATCAGTGGGAATCCGGGAAAACTTTCTGCTGGTTGAGTTCTACCTCGCACCAAAGAAGATGGTTGTGGTTGTTGAAGATTAGTCATCTCAGCTCCAGGGCAGTGCTGCAGAGTTCCTGGGGCAGTGTCTTAGATCCAGTCATTTTTAGCTGCTATATCAGTTACCTTCCATCCATCATTAATGTCAGAGGTGGGGTTGTTCACTGGTGCTAACCAATGTGCGTTCATAACTCCTTGAGTATTGAAGCAATCTGTGTACCATTGCAGCAAGACCTAGACCATATTTAGGCTTGGTCTGATAAATTGAAAGCAACATTTGCTTCACACAACTGCTAGGTAATGACCATCTCCGAGAAAAGAGAATCCAACTATTGCTGCGTGATGTTCTTTGGCAATGCCATCTCTTAAATCTCCCACTATCAAGTTCCTTGGAGATACCATTGACCGGAAGCTGAATTTTACCAGCCATATATAAATACAAGAGCAGGTCAGAGGTTGGGAGTTTTAAAATAAGTAACCCACTTTCTGACTCCTTAAAACCTGTCCACCATCTACAATGGACAGGTCGTGAAGGTGCTGGAATATTCCCCATTTCCCTGTATGAGTGCATTCCAACAACAGTTGAAGCTCAACACCATCTGAAACAAAGGAGTCCATTTGATTGGCACCCTGTCTAATATCTTCAGCTTTTACTTCCTCCAGCACTTGACAGCAAATACTGCTGACTGAATCTTAAAAATTTGCTGCCACAACTAACCAAGGCTTCTTAGACAGCATTTTCCAAATTCATGACCCGTACCACCTAGAAGAGCAAGGGCAGCATATTTGTCGGAATGCCACAATTCCCTCTTCAAGTTATTCACCTCACTGATTGGAAACAACATTGCTGTGCAAAATTCTGGAACTCTCTCCTTACTCATAACTCCGACTAAAGCAGGTAACTCGCTACTATCACCGCAGAGACCATTAGGATTGGGCAGTAAGTGGTGACCAAGTCAGCAATGTCTCATATACCATGAAGAATTTAAATTAAAAAATACACTCAAAGAAAGGAAAGGTATAACTTGCATAGATTTTGTTCACATCAAACACCTGACTTGTTGACGTCTTTGCACATCTCTGTACTGACAAATTAGTGAGGTTTATGTTCTAACTGCTTTGTGATACATGGGCTCAGTAGATCTCAAAACTGAATTCCATTAGCACAGATTGTCCTTCCATGAGGAAACAAATGAAATGTTGTTCGTGGGTGTCGAGACCAATTAATATAGCCAGTTGCTTATTTGGTAAAGCAACTTCTAAACTCTACTTGTCAGGTTATTGGGATGTTCTGAATGCAATTAATTGGAATAATTGGGTTATATTTTGCTTACCATCTTGAGCCGATCTACAGTGAGACTTTTTTGTTCTATCTGCCATCTCAAGCATGTTTAGGCACAGTGCTTCCAGCTGTCCTGAAATTTCAATGCTATACTTTTGTTTTTCTCCATACTTAACCACTTTACATTAAGTAAGGATGAATTAGCTGGGTCCTTTCTCTCTTGACTAGAAAAGGCTGAAGTGCTTACCTAATCAAGGTCTGTACGACAATTAAGTGTTTTGATAATGTGGATACAATGAAAATCTCCCTATTTATGGTGAGAGAATAGCTATAAGTCATAAATATAAGATAGTCGCCGAGAAATTCAATAGGAAATTCAGAAGATAACGAGGTGTAGAGCTGGATGAACACAGCAGGCCAGGCAGCATCAGAGGAGCAGGAAAGCTGATGTTTCGGGTCTGGACCGTTCTTCAGAAATGGGGGAGGGGAAGGGGATTCTGAATTAATTAGAGAGCGGGGGGGAGGCGATGATGGGAGGTGAATAAAGGAGCACATAGGTGGAGAGGAGACGGACAGGTCAAGGAGGCGGGAATGGAACCAGAAAAGGTGAATGTAGGTGGGGAGTTAGGATGGAGGTTGGTCAGTCAAGGGAAGACAGACAGGTCAAGGAGGTGGGGATGAGGCTGGCTGGTAGGTAGGAGGTGGGGGTTGGTCAGTGGGGGGGGAGGAGCGGATAGGTGGGAGAAAAGACAGACAGGTCAAGGAGGCAGGGTTGAGCTGGGCTCGTTTTGGGATGAGGTCGGTGGTGGGGAGATCTTGAAGCTTGTGAAGTCCACATTGAGACCATTGGACTGCAGGGTTCCCAAGTGAAATATAAGATGCTATTCCTGCAACCTTCAGGTGGCATCGTTGGGGCGCTGGACGAGGCCCAGGATGGACGTGTCGTCCAAGGAGTGGTGGGGGGGTGGGAATTGAAGTGGTTCGTGACTGGGAGGTGCAGTCGTTTGTCACAAACCGAGCGTAGGTATTCCACAATGCGGTCTCCAAGCCTCCACTTGGTTTCCCCGTTGTAGAGGAGGCCACCTTGGGAACAGCAGATACAATATACTACATTAGCAGATGTGCAGGTGAACATCTGTTTAATATGGAAGGTTTTTTTGGGGCTGGGATGAGGTTGAGGGGGGAGGTGTAGGGGGCAGGTGTAGCACTTCCTGCAGTTGCAGGAAAACTGTCTCTGAGGAAATTCAGAAGAATTTCTTTACCCAAATACTTGGAAGAATGTAAAATCTGTTATCACAGGAAGTGGCTGAAGCAAGTACGCTGGAGGTGTTTACAGTGAAGCTGAACAGCCTAACCATGTTAAGGCAAAGCTTGATGCTAACTGAGGTAGAAGGGATAAATTTGGAGGAGGTGTAGTGGGATGTTTTGTTCTTTGTGTGATTTGGGTCTCTGCTCTAGTGTTCTAAGAACTGGAGTATGTTTCCAGGGTATTTTTCTATAAGCAGTGATTAACCTATGTGGTACCAAACTCTATAAACGTACAGTGTCTTTGTAATTTTTTCTTCGTTTGGATGTTTATATTGAACTTTTATTCTATGATTAAAGAAGATGGGACCTATAGTAGATACTTTTGAATGTTTTGTTGTTTGTTAGTAATGACTATGTTTGGTTCACGATGATGCTTTATAATTTCATTATGTTATAGGAGCGTGAAGAGAAAAGGCTAAAACTAAAAATAGAAAAGGAAGAGCGGGAGCGTGCAAGAGAAGAGGCCAGACTTGCCAAAGAACGTGCAAAGGAAGAAGCTAAGAGGAAAAAGGATGAGGAAAAAGAACAAAAAGATAAGGAAAGGAGAGAGAAAAAAGAGAAAGAAGAAAAAGAAAAAGCAGAACGGCTAAGGTTAAAGGAAGAAAGACGGAAAGAAAAACAAGATGCATTGGAGTGAGTTACTCCCAAAATAAATGCTTGCTAGGTGAATTTGGATTGTTACAGAATTCAGTTTATTTCAATAGGGTCTAGAGTCATCTACAGAATAGTTAACATCGGGCGAATTTGTAAAGCTTCGTGTTTAAGGCCAGCTCAATACTCCATCTTAAGCAGTCCAGTTTAATAAAATAAAAATATAGAACAATCGTATGTTTGTAAGCTGTTAAATATATTCCTGTCCAGAACATCTTGGAAATATTTTTCATATGTAAAGTGCTCCAAATTTCAGAATCTTAAACTAAAATAAGGTGAGATTCTGCAGGCAGGTGGCCTGTGCAATTTAGTGTAGCCTTATCAGACTGGGTTGTTTAACTTCGTAATTGGGTTGACTAATATGCTGAATGTTGATGGAGGTACACACCATATCTAAGAAATATTGGCAAGATAGCAAGCAGAACTATGCTGCAAGTGCTATTGGATCAATTTAAGTCCCTTGATTAGGTAGATGGTAGTTCTATTTTAAAACCACCTGACTGCTGCACTGAGGTGTCACTGATTATTTGCTGGTTCATAGTGAGGCCTCAAACCATAATCTTCTGACTCCAGAAATAAGTGTGTTGTCAGCTGAACGAACTGACGTTTAACTACTATTCATAATATCAATAAGTTCTGAAAAAACGAATTGAAACAAGTGCTGTGTATTGTTTTCATTTGATATTTCCAGCATCTACAGTGTCTTGCTTTTATTACCTTCTACCTTTTCTGTGCAGCATATATTTCTCTGTTCTGCAAGTATTACCTGAGCATTGTTTGTCTTTATTAATTGCCAAACCTAAATGAAAAGGTGCAATAAACATATATAATCATCTTTTTTTTTCTTTTGTAATAGGGCAAAATTGGAAGAAAAGAAAAAGAAGGAAGAGGAGAAACGGTTGAAAGAAGAAGAAAAAGTAAATACAAATTGTCTCTTGGTTTTGCAATCCCTGACTTTTAGCTGTCTTTGCAATTGTTGATCTTTAACCCTGACTCTTCCCTCATCCCCCAGGACAGGCCCATTCCTTTTTCATCTATTCAAAGGAGCACATTTGAGTGTGTCTGCCACACAATTGGTTCGCCTGTTCATCGTGGCTCTGCTTTCTGACAATGCCAAAAGATTTTTATTGCACATGCATCCTTTTGTGAAATGCCCTACCAGTTAAAAAATACATGGCAACAACAAAATAACCATAACAGATCTCTGCGTCTGGACAGACTTCACTGCAGTACTGGCAAGGTGCACGTTTTGCACATGCGCAGTAAGACCCTTTGGCATATCAGCAGACACAAACATTTGTCATATCCCTGGCTGGACCACATCCAGTGCCATCCTCTGCTGAATTATCAGGAATTTTTCGGAGAGCATAGATAACCCCTTTTGCTTGCTTGTACATGTGCAACAATAATAAACTATTCAAGTGTTCACTAGAAGTAATTCACTGAAATCTAACCCTATTCACAAATCAGAAAATCAATTTTTTGGCGGTACCTCATATTATGCACTCCAATTATGCCTCTGTTTTCTGTAGCTATATTGTCTGTTATTGAGGTGTATGTCTTAACTATGATTACAGCGTTTGAAGGCAGAGAAAGTTAAAGAGATTTCAGAAATAACAAGATTCTTCCAAAAACCAAAGGCTCCACAAGCCCCTAAGGTAAGGATTCTTTTCACAGCCTGTAATATTCATTCAATTTGGCTCGGGTTATGGGCTTGCTTGTACAAACCAAATTAAATCCTGGCCTTTGTATGGTATTTCCATGAATAACTCTTCAAGTATTTCTCTTGTTGTACCACACCATTGTTAAAACTTGAGACAATCACGTGAGTAAAACATTCACCATGGACTTAAATTTATTTGTTTGTTGTCAGTTTGTGGACTACTTTGATACCTAGGGGTCTGAGTAGTTTTGTGGTCATCTCTGAAATGTCCTTGATATTTGGTCGGGTGATCAGTGTTTCTGGTCGTGGTGTGTCTTCCTGTTGTGGTCTGTCTCAGAAGTAACGACAGATTGTGTTTTTTGGGTATCCGTTTCTTTTGAAGACTCCGTACAAGTGTCCCTGTTCTGCTATTCGTAGTTCTGGGTTGCTGCAGTGTGTTATGGCTCATTTAAATAGTGTCCTGATGCAGCTCCGTTGCAGTGGTTGCTAGTGTAATTGAGTATCTGGTCCGTATATGTGGTCTTTCTATATATGCTAGTCTGGAGTTCCTGTTGTTTTTGCATTCTACCATCATGTCCAGGAAGAGTAGTCGGTCGTTGCTCTCTTTTGTGAATTTTATCCCAGTAAGGATGTTGATTATGTTGGTGGGTTTCTTCTAGTTTTGTGCATTTTAATAATCACACAGGTGTCATCTACATATTGGACCCAAAATTTGGGTTGTATAGTGGAGGGTGCTTTCCATTCTAACTTTTACATTACTGCTTCTGCAATCAGTCCTGATATTGGGGATCCCAATGGCGTTCTGTTGATTTTGTTTCCTATATGCTGTCATTGAAGCTGAAGTGGGTTGTGAGGCACAGATCTTGTAGTTTCTTGGTGGTGTTCTTATTGATGTTACTGGTGTCCTGGGTTGCCTGCTTACTTGATTCGCCCAGCAGTGTGGCAATTGTTTCTTTGGCTAGGTCGATGCTAATAGATGTAAATAATGCTGTTACATCAAAGCATATCATCATCATGTCCTCTTTTACCTTTGGTGTCCTTGACGTTGAGGAATTCTTGGGGTGACTGGATGGAGTGGGTAGTGTTGTCCACTGTGTATTTCGATTTCTGTTCTAGACTTGCCAAAAGAACTACATGTTGGTGTACCTGGCAGAGAGACAGTGGGGTCTCCGGTTTGTGTACCTTGGGGAATCTGTAGAATCGGGATGTGTTGGATCCCTCTGGCTTCATTTTTTTGGTAGTCTGTTTGGCTGATCTCTCTTGAGTTGTGTAATTTCTTAAGGGTCATTGTAATCTGGTTTCCTAACTGTGGAAACTCTATGCAACCCAAACTTTGGGTCCGATATGTAGATGACACCTTTGCGATTATTAAACTCACAAAACTAGAAGAAACCCACCGACACCACAAAACAACATCCTTACCGGGATAAAATTCATGTAAGAAGAAGAGAACAACCACAGACTACCCTTCCTGGACATAATGGTAGAAGACAAAAACTAGCGTATATGGGAAGACCACACATACAGACCAGGTACTCGATTGCACTAGCAACCGCTGCAATGGAGCTGCATCAGGACACAACTTAAATGAGCCACAACACATTGTAGCAACCTGAAACTAAGCAAAGCAGAACAGGAACACACGTACGGAGTCTTCAAAAGAAATGGATACCCGACATGTACGTCCACTGTTACCTCTGAGACAGACCACAACAGGAAGACACAACATGGCCAGAAACACTGATCACCCTACCAATATGTCAAGGACATTTTAGAGTTGACCACAAGACTACTCAGACCCCTAGGTATCAGACGAGCCTACAAACCGACAATCACCCTGCGACAGCTACTGACGAACATAAAGGATCCCATACCCAAAACCAGCAAAACTGGGATAATAAACAAAATACTGTGCAAGGACTGTGAGAAACACTACATTTGCCAAACCAGAAGAAAATTGACTATACACATACATGAACAGCAACTAGCCACCAAGAGACACGACCAATTATCCCTTGTCTCGCTACGGACAATGAAGGACACAAATTCGACTGGGACAACATATCCATTACTGCACAAGCCAAACAGGGGGACACCAGGGAGTTCGTGGAGGCCTGGTATTCCAACCGGAACTCCCATCAACAAACACATTGAATTAGACCCTACATACAAACCACTGAGAAACAAAATCGGAAGTAATACCAACCACCCACCCCAGCAAACCAAGGCATATAAATAACAAGTGGGACAGAACACGACGCTTCACAGGAGGCACACTGAAGATGTTACCTGGCAGGTTGACGAAATGTTTGCAACCAAACCCACCAGCTTAGTGAACATGTCTACAACCTCCTCCACAACCTGAGCTACAAATCTTCTCAAACTTTAAGCTCTCCAGGGGCTGCTATACCAGCAGACCTTATCAAGCATGGTAATCAGATGCTGCAGTGAATACATAACCTTGTTCAAAGATGCACAATTTGTGACCCTTTATAAGAATCATGCTTGATCTTTTTGCACTGACAGGCCACAGACCAAAGTATAACGAGAGCCACAGCAATATATTTTGGAAAATTCATATTATTGTTTTGTAAATGCTGTGAAGATTAGTTTTTAATGTCCACCGATTTGAAGTTGGTTTTATTTACATTTAATGTATTATCTTTGTTTTTTGACCTGTGTACGCAACCACCTCTTCTTAAAACTGTGTTTGTTTGCTACATGGCTTATAAGTCATAACAATGCATTTTTACAGCAGGTTAAAAAAGTAGAAAAAAATGTCTGATCAGAAATATTATGCTTTTCTGAGTTAGTGATATGTCTGAGGTTGTAAGACCACAAGGTATAGCAGCAGAATTCGGCTATTTGGTTCATTTTGAGTCTGCTCTGCCATTCAGTCTTGGCTGATTATATTCCTCAACCTCATTCTCCTGCCTTCTCCCCGTTACCCTTGATCCCCTTACCAATCAAGAATTTATCTCTGTCTTAAATAACTCAATGACTTGGTCTTCTGACAGCCTGCTGCAGCAGTGAGTTCTGCAGATTAGCCACTCTGGCGAAGCAATTCTGAGAAATGGATAAGACAGAATAGTTGGGTCAAAATTCAGTCAACAGCTGTACTGTTTGTGATGGCTTTTAACTCTTAGGTTCACCTCCAGTGACTTCTCCAGAGACAGGTCAGTCCCATCCGAGTGCAACACCGTTTTCCAATTTGTGCCTCTGTGCTGCTTCAGGAGGCAGTAGCTCCAACTCCAGTTGATCCTGACTCGGCAGGCTTTATGTGGCCTGTAGCTGTAGAATGGATTCCCTGCTGTTGAAGAACAATGGTAACGACAGCAGCTGAAGCATCTCCCTTCTGAGCATCATAGTGAGGTGCTAACCATATTGCTCATGTGAGATTGTAGATTTTGGCTGAACACATTATCCTGAGTCCCAGTGTGGTTTTAGATGTGGAAGACCTACAAATTGGGAGGGGAAAAATATTCCTGTCTTGAATGGCAGGAGTTGAACATTCAGCCCCTCAAAGAGCTGAATGCTCCATTATTTTGAGATAATGGCAGATCTGATTTGTAACTTCATCTGCATTTTCAACACTTGATAACTTTTCAGTACCTTGGTTAACAACAATGTATCTACCTATATTTATAAGTATTCACGGACTCTTTCTGAAAATGTCATGGAATCAGAATCTGTAGAATCCCTACAGAGTAGAGCAGGGCCATTCAGCCCATCAAGTCCACACCGACCCTCCTAAAGAGCATCCCACCCAGAAAAACCCCCTTCCCCTATCCCTGTAACCTTGCATTTTTGTGGCCAATCTACTTAATCTGCACATCATTTTCCTCATCTGTGAGAGGAAACTGGGGCATCTGGAGGAAACCCATGCAGACACTGGAGGAAAAATGAAAACTCCACACAGACAGTTACCCGAGGCTGGAATCAAATCTTGGTCCCCAGTGCTGTGAGGCAGCACTACTAACCAATGAGCAACCACGCTGCCCCCAAAGACAAAAGCACATTTTTTTGTTTCTCTCCAGTTTTGAAAGGGTTCAGTCTGATCACAGAATTGTTTTGGTGCAGAAGGAAACCATTCAGTTCTTCATTTATAATCAAAATTTATTAGTTTCCTTTTTGTTTGGGCCTTTTATTTCCTTTCTATTAATGTAGACATCTACTGTCATTTTAATGTTTTTTTTTAATCTGGAGAGCTGCTGCATTTCCCTTGATGTTATTTTGAAAGTGTGTTATAATTGTTGAATGTACCAACTAAAATAACAGCTGTAGAATTTCCGGTGCTTATGTTAAATGGAAGCAATCTATCTAACCAAAAGTTGATCCATTTCTTAGACTCTAGCTGGATCTTGTGGGAAGTTTGCCCCTTTTGAAATCAAAGAACACATGGTACTTGCTCCAACAAGCCGGATATACTTAGATCAAGAAGATCTTGAACAGTTAGATGAATTGCTGGAACGTCAGAGTTTTAATTCTAATTACATTAAAGAATTGCACAACCAGAAACCAAGAACATCAGGACCTACAAGTCCTAAAATAAGCATCACAGATGAAAATTTGTGCAGGTAAGGATGAAGCTCCATACTTCTCCATTTCAGTTGATTTCCTAACGAATTGGTGAGGAGGATGAAGACAATTAATTTTAAAGGAAAAACCATCTTCAGTGCTTTGCATGGCCAAATCGCTTCACTAAACCTTTTTCTTTATTAACAATGATCTTGGTGCACAACGCCACCTGAACCTGTGCTCTGAAAACTCTTTTATTCTAATCAGCAGCCTTGCACTGTCTCTCTTTTCCCCTGTCTTTGTTTTCAGGGAGGCATGGACATGCATTTGATTGGCGCACACCCCTATTGCCATTACCTTCTGCTGGATAGCTGACCAGGACACTATCTCGCTCTGAAAACAACAAATGCTTGAGATCTCAGCAGGTCAGGCAGTATTCGTGGAGAGAGAGAGAGAGCAAGGTAACGTTTCGAATTTAGATGACCCTGAGAGCTCTGATGAAGAGTCATCTAGACTCGAGATGTTAGCTTACTCTCTCTCCATGGATGCTGCCTGACCTGCTGTGATCTCCAGCAATTGTTGTTTTCAGGCCAGATTCCAGCATCTGCAGTAATTTGCTCCTACACTATCTCGCTCTTAAAGCCTGCCATCAGCAGTATTGGAAAAATTTACAAGCTGATGGTCAATCTGTTGGGCTGCATTTCAAACTTATCTTTTGTGAACAACAAGTCCTGGTGTGGGAGCCAGAACCCAGATCTTGGCTCATGGGTGGGGATGCTACCATTGCCTCATAAGACCTTCGCTGTATACAAGTCAGTTTTTTGTTTAGCCATGATGTCATCTCGGGAGAAGAGTAGAGCATTTTAATCCTTTGAGCATGCTATGTCATTCAGTAAGATAAAAGATTGTTTGCTCAACTCTATTTATGTAGTTGTGTATGCATTATGTTCTTGGCAGCAGTGAATAACTGTACAAATTATAACTGCACAACCTTTCTGGTAAACCAGGTTTACTTGCAAAATAACTGTAATTTTACTTTTTCTTTCTAGCGATGATGTGATTGTGATTGACACTAATGTAAGTAGTGGAATCGTTGAGCGGAAAAAGTTTTGCAGGATGAAGTTATTACAGTTTTGTGAAAATCACCGTCCTGCCTACTGGGGAACCTGGCAGAAGAAAAGTACGAAGGTGAACCCTCGGAATCCTTTGGCTAAAGATGAGGTAAGGAACATGGTGCAGAGTCGATTAGGGATTGACTATGATAAATCTGGTCATTTTCAACACAAGTCCTGGGTCCTGATGGGATCTATCTCAGAAAATTGAGGGAGGCAAAAGAACAAATTGCTTGAGCATTGACAGACATCTTTGTATCCTCTTTGCCCACAAGTGAGATCCCAGAGGACTGGAGAATAGCCAGTGTTATCCCATTGTTTAAGAAGGGTAACAGGGATAATCCTGGAAATTACAGGCCTGTAAGTCTCATATCAGTAATAGGGAAATTATTGGAAAACATTCTCGGAGACAAGATCTATACGCATTAGAAGCAAACGAACTTATTAGCAAATAGACAGCATAGTTTTGTGTTTGGGAGGTTGTACCTCACTAACTTAATCAAGTTTTTTGAGGAGGTCACAAAGTTGATTGAGGGAAAAGCGGTTGATGTTTTCTACCTGGACTTCAGTAAAGCCTTGGACAAGGTCCCTCATGGTAAACTGGTACAAAACGTGAAGTCACATTGTATCAAGGGTGAGCTGTCAAGATGGATACAGAACTGGCTTAGTCATAGAAGACAGAAGGTAGCGGTGGAAGGGTGCTGTTTGGAATGGAGGGTTGTGTCTTGTGTCCCACAGGGATCAGTGCTGGGACCTCTGCAGTTCGTGATCTACATAAATGATTTTGAGGAAAATGTAGTTGGTCTAATTAGCAAGTTTTCAGACGCTACAAAGATTGGTGGAGTTGAGGATAGTGAGGAGGATTGTCAGAGAATACAGCAGGATATTGTGGTTGGTTGGCTCACTGAGCAGGTTCGTTGTTCCGCAGACGTTTTGTCACCCTACTGGGTGACATCAGTGCAGCTTCCGATGAAGCGCTGTTGTGTTTTCCCGCCTGTCATTTAAACGCTGGTGTCTGTTGAGCTGGATTACCCCACTAGCTGTTTTCTTTCGCAATGGATTGGATATGTTTATTGATTTTTGTCGCAATCTTTACAGGGAATCTTGTATATGACATTGGTTCTGTACATGTGGGTAGTGGGTCTTTGGTTCGAGTGAGCAGTTGGCAAAGGGTTGATGTGGATTTGTGTGCTAATCTGATGCCCAGTGGTCGTTGGAGCTTGTGGTCAGTTCAGATGTGTTCTTGATTACTGTAAGGTAGCATGATGATTGTGTTGGGGCATGTAGTATCTTCCAGGTGTTGTTTGTGTAATAAGACTGCGACAAACATTACATTGGACAAGCAGGAAGGAATTTAACCACAAGAGTACATGAACATCAACTGGCTACAAAACGACACGACCAATACTCAATCATCTCCATCCATGTGGATAAGGAAAACCACCAGTTTGATTGAGACAACACCAGGATACTGGGACGGGCAAAGCAGAGACAAGTACGAGGATTCCTAGAGGCCTGGTTCTCCACTAAGAAAGCCATCAACAAACATATAGAGCTAGACACCATGTGCACTCCATTGCAAAGGAAAGCCTGAAGTGATGTAATCCAGCTCAATGGACACCAGAGTTTAAATGACAAGTGGGAAAACACAACAGCGCTTCATTGGAAGCTGCACTGATGATGTTACCCGTCAGGGTAACAAAACGTCTGCGGAACAACAAACCAGCTCAGCGAGCCAACTTAGCACAACATCCACAACCCGAGCTATAAATCTACTCTTAAAACCTTAGATATATCAATTGGAGGCATAGGCAGAAAAATGGCAGATGGAGTTTAATCCAGACAAATGTGAGCTAATGCAATTTGGAAGATCAAGTACAGATGGAAATTATACAGTAAATGGTAGAACCCTTAGGAGTATTGGTATGCAAAGGGATCTTCGTTTGCAGGTCTACAGGTCATTTGAAGGTAGCAGTACAGATAGATAAGGTAGTAAAAAAGGCGTATGGCATGCCTGCCTTCATTGGAAGGGGCATTGAGTGTAAGGATAGACAAGTTTATACTGCAGTTTTATAGAACTTTAGTTAGGCCACACTTGCAATATTGCCTAGAGGTTTGATCACCACACTACCAAAAAGATGCTTTGGAGAGGGTGCAGTAAAGGTTTACAAGGATGTTGCCTGGTATAGGGAATTTTAGCTATGAAGAAAGGTTGGATAGACTGGGTTTGTTTTCACTGGAATTCAGGTGGTTGAGGGGTGACCTGATAGAAGTTTATAAGATTGGCTTGGATAGAGTGGAACGTATGAGGCTTTTTCCCCAAGGTGGAGAGGTCAGTTGCTGGAAGACACAGGTTCAGAATGGAGGATTAATTTAAGAGATGTGCAAGTTTTTCACAAAGGCTGGTGAGTGCCTGGAACGCGTTGCCAGAGAATATGGTCAAAGTAGACACAATAGCAGCATTCAGGAAGCACCTGGATGAATACATGAATAGGAAGAGAATAGGGGGATACGGGTCCCATAAGTGAAGACCGTTTTAGTGTGGAAGGGCCTGTTCCTGTGCTGTACTGTGTTCTTTGTTCTTATAATATGTAACACTGAGTCTGGTTAGAAATGATACATTTTGGTCCACTAAATGGACAGTTATCCTAGGAATCAGTTAAAAGTTATAGCGATGGTGAATTTGATTATTCTGAATGCATGATTGATTTTTTTTTTTATATATAAACCTTAACTTCCATGAAGAGTGACTTGGAGGATTAATGACAAACTGTCATGCTGTTCTGTATGATGAAGAAGCAAGCCAGCGTTTTCATCCCTTTTTTTTGAACCTGACAATTAAGATATGTTGAACTAGACGATTTCTGTGTGTGTTTTGTTGTCACAGGATGAAGAATTATGATATTGAAGAGTCTCGTCTGATGTGATCTTTAGTCAGTTCTGCTTCCTTCAAATTTGTCATGTAACCAGAAGTGGTCTGTGGGCTTTCAATAAAATTGATCCTAATAGTTTGCTTGCTTTCATATAGAGTGAAGGAGATGACTGAGCATTGCATTTCACTATCTTAGTTTAGTGACAAAATTGTAGGAAGGTTTGTGATGTATGGGAAAGGAAATTTATGTAACACTAAGAAAACTGTCGCCTTTTGGTAACTTTGTGAAATGGATAGTGCTTAGTATATGATTTACCCTGCTTTACAGAAAATTGTGAAAACAGTGTTTTGTTCCTTGATAATGCAGAAAACACACTTGTATCTCTAATTGTGTAACTATTCACTAATAATTTAAATTAAGTTTGCATCTGATCTAATGATTAAATTTATCCCTAAAGCAGTTGTTGGATTATGAAGTGGATAGTGATGATGAATGGGAAGAAGAAGAACCTGGTGAATCTCTCTCCCACAGTGAAGGAGTTAGTATAAGCTTTCTATTCTGATTTAACATTTCACTGTTTGGAGGCTGTCTAGACAAATATTTCTTGTAGAGACTTTAATATGTGATAACTTTTTTTTAATCTTAATTTAATGGGAGTAATTTGTGCTTTTCCAGCTGGTGTTAGTAATACACAGAAATGTGCAGGACCAAAAAGATTACTGAATTCATCTGGCTAGTCTCAAAGATCTTTTTTAAAAAAGATGCTAAATGCTATTTCACAACCCTTCATTTCTTTGCTAAATCTATATTTCTATATAGGATATGAAATACATTCTATTTTTGTCAGTTGGTTTATGTGACTAATTGGAAGCTATGGTCCTTACTAACCAAATGACTATTTAATTTTTTTCTGTGAAATGTTTTGGCATGACCTTGTGAAACATGATGTATACACTTGGTTTTGTTCTGTTCCTTTTTTTTTGTGGGCAAAATGTTAGGAAGAACAGTGCTATCCGTTTCTGTGCTGTATCAGGGTAAATGGAATCTCCACAAAGTGGTGAATATTCATGAATCATACTTTGAGCTTTGTATGTAGTCATTGATTAAGCATCTGTCAGTTAAGTTACAGAGCAATTTTGCTTGCACTGAAGAGGATTGCAACCTCTGGATATCCATGAAAACCTTACTGAAGTTAACCAGAATGAATAGTCTTTATGACAGTTTGAAGTAAAGTCCACGATAGGGTCATCGCTGCAAAGCCTTTTAAAATGTGCAGTGGCTCATGAATATCCTATTTCATTTTAACCCATCCTCATTTCAGTGTTGACTGACTTGTGCATTTTCACCCTTTTTTGCACACATCTGATGAAATGCATAATTTCATGTTTAAATGCAGCATTGTGTGACAAATAAAATGGATTTGAAATTTCATTTGAGTCTTGCATGCAAAAGAAAAACTTAATGTGTGGAGATATAATTTCTCATGTAGGACCCCAGAATGAACTAGTAATGCAGAACTCTATCGTTGCACTTTTTTTACCTCCTTGTTTAGGATGATGATGATGAGGCAGATGATGAAGATGATGATGATGGATTTTTCGTCCCTCATGGCTATCTGTCTGAAGGAGAAGGTGCAACTGATGAAGTAAGGGTTTGCATTAGATGCAGTGAAACCTGTGGTTAAACATCTTTAAGCTTTAGTAACAAAACTTTTGATGATCTGATTTAATCATGAACAAAAGAACTATAATGTTGTACTAAACAATACAGAGTATTAACATGACTGACTGCATGGTCTGTGCTGTTCTTCTCATCCAATCATATATGAATGAGTCCAGGAAGGGGTTAATTTTGATCATGACAAGTGGGTAGCAGAAGATTGTGGTGAATGCTTGATGTGAGGAATAGTGAATATGGCTGTAGTGGTCTTGTGGCCAAGTAGTTTTCTGGTTCATGTGTTTGCATTAATCATGTAAGGTGGATTATGTGAGAGTGGATTGCCTGGAAGACCTTTATTGTTGCGGGAGGTGAGGTATAAAAATGGGCTAAGTCATGCACTACAAATATAGAGGGCTTTGATGATACATAAACTATTCTACTGTTTTGGTCTCTTTAAAAGAGGGGTATAGCTTGGAAAATGTTCCCTAGGCTGTTGGTCTTGTGAGCAAAGTTTAGGCCTAAAGATTATTTGGGGGACTTGTAGGGCTAAATGTTTAGAGGATATTTTTCCTAGTTGAGAAGTCTAGAACTAGAGGACAGTTGATAAATGAGGAATTGACCATTTACAGCTATGATGTAGAAGAATCTCTTACAAGTGTTGTTAGTCTGTAGAAATGCCTTCCCAAGAGAGCCGTCATAGAATATATTTGAGTGTTAGATGTATTTTTGATTCATGGGGCGGTTGAGAATTTTTGGAGGATCTCTGGAAAGCAAGCATAAGATAGTATTCTGATCTTGTTGACAGTGGATCAAGCTTGAGTGGTCAAATCTCCTCTTATTTCTGCCCCTGTTTCTTCCCTTATGTCAGGACAGAATAACCAGTGCAGGTATATCTGCTGGATGGTTAATTGCAGTTAACTCCAGCTATTGAGTGCAATTTTTATTTTGTTCAGGAAGGTGAAAATCCTGAAAAGCAGAAAATTCGTCAGAAGATGAAGGCAAAGGAATGGGATGAATTGATGAAAGGAAAGAAATTTCAGGTCCTGCAGCCTACCCTGATCGGATGTTTTTGGGAAAGCGACAGTACTGTTTTGCAGAGTTCGGCCGTGAAGATACTTCAGCAATTTTCAGTCTGTCTGTTTGAAAACCAAATGGAGGATGAACAGATACAAGAAATACACAATGGGAAATTAAAAGAGGAACAAAGTAAGGACATTTCATTAGTGTTTTAAATTTCACACGTAGAATCTGGAAGGCAAAAAGATATTGGATTACTGTTATAAATTTGCAACTGTACTTGTGACAATTCAAACTTCTCTACATGCATGTTAAGGTTTTTTCTTACTCCAGTTGGTAGAAGATTAATTGGATTTGCCTATGATTTGTGGGAGAAAATGCCTATTTGCACTTTGACTGAAGATTATAATGTCTGAGTAGTCCACTGCTTTTACATAAGCATGGCCTTTTTATGGCCAATCAAAACCTTATCTATATGATTCCAAGCATCTTCTAAAAACTTTTTTATTGGTGTCATTTGGCAATTGGAGGCTGTATAAATATAAATTCAGTAGATGTTTGATGGTCCAGACTTGAGTATGAATGAAAAAAGACACTTGTTGGATTTTTTTGTCTTTTGCTCATCAGAACAATTCACAAGAATACCAATTCAAGGGGAAAGCCAACATTTCCACTGCATGAGAGTAGAATGGGAGTTGTTTGGCAAGTGAACTCTATTATAGAGGTGTTGCCATGGGAAAATGCATCCATTAAACAAACTTTAGTCTTTAACTGAAATCGGCACTAATGGATGCAATGCCTTTACCAACCAGAGTTCACTTATTCAAGAAGGAGTGAGCAGATTCAGTTGTTCCTCCGTATTTGAAAGGGTTCCATTCCTGACAACCCCGTGAATGATGAAATTTGCGAGTGTGGAGTTTATTAAAAATGAAGATCATTTAAAAAGTCACATGATTTTTGCCTGCAGATGTTAATTTTTTTTGTTACTTTTGGTGCGAGAGGCGATTTCACTGATACAGAGAATTTACTGTAGGTGGAGATGAAGCCCAGGGAGAGAGAAAAGATTTAGGCAGACAAAGGGATTATTGATAGCTAGGGAGGAGGAGAAGTTGGGTAATAACTAGGAAAGTGAATATTCTATCAGCTTTGAAGAAAGATCACTGGACTCAATGTTAACTCTGCTTTCTCTCCACAGATGCTGCCAGACCTGAGTATTTCCAGCAATTTCAGTTTTTGTTTCAGATATACAGCATCTCCATTTCTTTTGTATTGTAGAAATAAATGGGTCTTCTTTCATGCTCATAGGATGTCAATTAGTGGTGTGCCAAAGGGGCCAGTGTTGGGGCCTCAGCTCTTCAGTTTGTATAAATGATTTGGATGAACGGATTAAAACAATGGTAGCTAAATTTGCTGATGGCACAAAGATAGATAGCAAGTGAGTTGTGAAGAGGATATAGGGAGCTGACAAAGAAAAATTTGATAGGTTCAGTGAATAGGCAAAGAAATGGCGAAGTATAACATGGGAACATGTAAAAGTGTCCATTTTGGCAGAAAGAATAATAAAGAACCATGTTATCTAAATGATTTGCAGAGCTCTGAGATGCAGAGAGATCTGGGTGGATGTGAGGGGTTGCCCGGTTAAGATAGATGATGAAACATTTGTTTGAGGGTTGAGTCTTTTCAATTCCCTTCCTCAGAAGGCAGTGGATGCTGCATCTTTAAATATTTTAAAAGTAAAAGTAGACAGTTCCATCCCGGTGATGTGCAGGAATATAGAGTTAAGCTTAAAATTAGATCAGTCATGAACTTCGTGAATGAGAGCTTGAAGGGTTGTGTGACCAACTCCTATTCCTTGTTGTATGTTCCTAAAAGCTTTGACAACAGGTGTCATTTCTCAGCAATAAAATTTGTCAAATGACAAGATCTAACAACAAGTTATTGCATCATTGCTCTACACCCGTGCTGAGGGACCATTCAAGTTTGCATTGGCCTAATTTTGCATCTTGACTTTGCAACCACTTTCCTCAGTAAGTGGAAGTTTGACTAATAGTGTTTATTGCGGTGGTGTACCTAGCATACCCAAGAGTGTCTAGTTCAAGTTTTTAATTCAGCTAAAATGGTTTTTATTTTATTCCATTTTTAAATGAAAGAAATCGTGCAAACCACAGTGATAAAACACAGGTTAACAAATTTGAGGAAAACCTGGGACCTCTAGATGCCTGTTTTACATGACTGGAAAGCACTAAGCAAGGTTGACCCAAAATGACCGCCCAAGGCACGTTAGTTATTGAGTATACTTAATGGATTCAAGATCACTCCGAGTGGGACTGAAACATTTCCAATCAAAAAGTTCCTATTCTGTTCCCCACTGTCTGCTAATTTAACTGATCTAAATGCACCTGAGCTAGGAAACTATAAAACAATGTTTCTTTTCCTGATGGCTACTTTGGTGATGGAGTGGGCAAACTAACTGCTTTTGGGTATAGTACCTATATGCTTCAGATTCAATTTATTTTAATGCCCTCCACTTATACCTATTGAGCTTCCCAATGACAAATTGCTGCTTAAGCAAGATACCTAGGGGCTTTTCATGCTTGTGCAGAGAGGCAAGCCTTTTTCAGAACTGCAGTGGGTGGACCTCATTGTCTCCAGGTCCCGTCTCAAAGTGCTTCATGGCCAATAACAAATCTTTTTAGTGTTTGACTGGTGTATAAGCATGTGAGGCAGGGTCTCCAAAGTAGTGAAAGATACATGACTGCTTAATCTGATTGCATTAATATTTCTGAAGGATGCATCTCTGATGGAAAGGAATGAGATGTCTTGCTCCTCAAATAGCATATTTTTATATTCAGCCAAACAAATGTATCTCTCAACATGCACTATTCCCTCTGATACTAAGTGTCAGCATAGTTTTTTGTTTTTTTTTGCTTAATTAGCTGAAGTGGTGTTTTAATCTGCAGCTTTCTGACTTGGGCAAGAATGCTTTCACTTAAGCCAAGCTGATTCCTCCCTGTTTGTTACTCATCCTCCCATTACCTGGTCTTGTTCTGTATGAGACAACAAGGTGCCGGGCTGGATGAACACAGCAGGCCAAGCAGCATCATAGGAGCAGAGAG